TAGCATAGTAATACAGGGACATAGCACGAGGGAGAACAGGGACATAGCATAGTAATACAGGAACATAGCATAGTAATACAGGGACATAGCATAGTAATACAGGGACATAGCACGAGAGAACAGGGACATAGCATAGTAATACAGGAACATAGCATAGTAATACAGGAACATAGCATAGTAATACAGGAACATAGCATAGTAATACATGGACATAGCATAACAGTACAGCAACAATATATTGTGTTTATATGCACAGTCAATGCATGAGTATGGATTTTATAAATGTGTTTATAATATCCACACTCATGTTTTCACATATTGTACTGTATGCTTACGTTAATTTACTCTTTATTCATATTATTACTCATAAAAGCCAGATTTATTCATAATTTTGTTTTCAGAAGTGTGCCGGCGATTGATTAACTTCCTCGATAGAAGAGGAGTTTTTGAAAACAACTGTAAAGAACCATGTCGGTAAATGATACTACTTTTACTGTAAGAGGGGTTAATATACAATGTAACATTATGATTGGGCTTCAATTAATTCCAATATTTTATAGGCACTAATAAAAACGAACAAACATTAAATATTTCCATGTTGTAAATTTCAGATTTTGATCACAATTTTATACATTTGGGGTGGGGGGTGATGTGTGACATGCATATGGTTAATATTTGAGACATGGCCTTGCATATTGGGTGAAATAATTGTCTTTATATTGTCCCTTTTCAGCCTAAACATCCCCTACCCTCTCCTGCCATTGCTCCTTCACTGGCTGTTGGTATTTTTTATTTATCAGATTCTTTTTCAAACAACAATCATTACACACATTTTACAGAGTATAACTTTGATATTTAACTCTAGGAAAACAACCTTCAAAAAGACAGTGTCCCAATCAATGTGGCCTTCTAACAAACACCTGGTAAGTATATTTGTATTATGTTATGAATGTAGTTATGATGTAGAACATTCCGTACAGAAGGGCGTTCCCATGTGTTTATGATAACTTCATATCCGCTATGAATACTCCTTATGTAACAGGCAAAATAAGGCGACTTACCAGCTCTTTTCTTATTTTAGGGTGGTCTTCTCAAAGTATTACGGCCGATCAATACCAAAATTCGGGATAAAGTAGTTGATGAAAAAAGTGCCAGGTATGCTATCTTATATTGTATTTTATTTTTAACCCGGCAATATAACTATAATTCGATAATTAGATAGTAACTGCAAACTCATCACAACAGTACTAGAACACCACGATATAGTCTTTCCGTTTTCGACATTGTGAAATTCTTTTGTTTTTATGCAGAAAAATACAATATTTTTTACCAAGAAAATTTTTTTTGTTAAAGTTATCGTTCAAAATGAGTTTTTGGACACACTACATAATTTGTAATTTCATTAAGCTTCTTTCAGTCAAGACAGGATAAAATGCAAAAATATAGAGAATATAGCAGATATCAAATTCATATTCTTGTGTAGCCAGTAAGTATGAAATAGTGTGCATATGAAATACATCTCGTTATGAATTATTGTTAATATATTTCAGAATATTCTAATCAAAATCACTTGTCTTAATTAATTTCCTCAAAAAACAAAAGAATTTCAAAAACGGAAAGTCTTTATCGAGGTGGTATATCTGAAAGATCACTTATCAAGGTTAGAAAGATGGTAGGAATAAATAGTATTGTTTTGTTTTATTGAGTTGTATTTTCATATCAATTAATATCAACTAAGCGAATGGACCTATGATTTTTGTGACGCTCACTTCAATAATATTATAGCTCAATATAAAGATTTTCTATTACAGGGACAATTTGGTTCTTATTGAAGTCTTTTTTGAAGTACCTAATTACCGGAGTATTTTGAATACACCAGCGTATACGGTATGTTATTTGCTATATAAGCATACTATGTATGACTACCTCCCTTGTTGCTGTAAACGATGAGTCTAATTAGTACCAAGGTTGTCAACAAAATTAGTTAGGAACAATTGTACTCCAGTTATTGAATTGCTGGTGAAAAGAGCGCAAAACGTCTACTGCCACCCATGTTATGGTCTAAACAAATCTTGCTAATGATGTAGCTCCACCTGGCAATGTATAACCATACACTGGCAAACCCTCTTCGGTGACACATGTTATGCTACTGACAAATCTGACTGATGTGCTGACCATAATTAATTCTACAATATTAGGACAATTCAACACAGGACATAGTGTTTCCTCTGTGAGGCATTACACTGTGCGCAAGATAATTCGTATTGACTACATTCAAATTAGTTTGACTGAATTAAGTAAAATAATAAAAATTGCTTTCAGTTTAATACTAGATTCTCAAGTATGTAATTCCATATCAATCCACTCTAATACCCTTCTAATTCTCAGGACAGAGCTACATCACGAAACGTCCCATGTTGCTTGGACACGCATCACTGTACCATGTATCTCTGTGTCATGGTTGTGTTGCAACATAAGGTCATTTAAATAACTGTGGCAAATATTTCAATTTCAATTCATTCAGAATACAATTGATCTTGACCTTGGCCAAAAGCTGAAGTCACATGCAAATATCACTGCATATGCACAAAACTTGATTTCCTCATAGATGCCGTTACTGTTAAATGCTCTTATAAAGCAATATGTTTGTATGACGAGCTACTGGCGAAGCACAATAAGCTGACTATTTTAAAATGTCCTTCATTTAGTGACTATGACCAACAAAATACTGATGATACTGGAGATCCTGTACTCATTATTCTACACAAAACATCCATTTGTTTTTATTCATACATTCAGACAGTACGCCGCTGCGCGTCGGTCAATAAGCTGCACTGTCTTCGTGCATACTTTTCGGTATCCTCGTAATAACCTCATATTATCGTTATTGTAGGTTGATCAGCTATTTGCCGATATTGGCGGTCTGATGGGACTATACGTGGGCATTTCGCTCATAACAGTAGTGGAGTTCATCGAATTGGTTTATAATTTGTACAACTATTTTAGCTTGAACAGAGAGGAAAAACTAGCAAAACGGGCAAAGAAAATGGAAAGCAAGAATATGAATCACAAATACGATCCAATACCGTGCAACCTGCCGCAGTCTATGATAGGAACGAGTGTTTGAATATGCTCCGCCGTTATACTTTATGTATTTGACATTAACGAGTTTAAGTATACCTTTTCAGAAACAATTGAGTGATGTCATTGTCAATTGTATTTTACTAAACGAACACTCGATTTATAACTGATTCATTTGTGATTTTTGAACCAAACACCGCCCTGTTTCTAACATATGATGTTGCACGAATAATTGAGAGATTGACGAACATGCATTAGTTATAGTTTTTTTATATTTGTGTCTCAAATTACCATATCAAGCATTACCCTTATAAATATCAATTAAATGTATTTATGTCAACGGCGAGTATTTTGATAATGTTGTAAATATCTGTTTTATCAAGTGTTCTTAAGTCAAATGTACTTAATCGTTTTTAAATACTTGTTGGTGAATTTCTATCAACAACTGAATGCAGTTAAGACGTTCATAAAAAGTCAATAATTATTCATACATACATTCATGTTTATACCACGTTGCCGATGATATATGTGCATTGTAATGTTGTTTGTAAATAAACGTCACTATATTAAAAATCCCATGTGTAGTTATTTCAATACATTATTTCAATGAATTCAAATATCACTGCAAAGTAATACTATCGGAAAGTCCCCTTAATTAAAGAGCCACAGGAAATAGGATACAGGTAGCTGGAAACTATATTTGATATCTTTGAAAAACGGTCCCCAAACGTAAACAATTCGTCATTGTCGGTGAGAAGATCAAGAAACATTTGTCATCATAAAAGTGAATTGTCCAGGTGATTCTAAAACTACCTTTTGGTGGTTGTATAACTGCCTCAAGATGCCTAGAAATACTCGCTTTACATGGTTTTCGGTTATTCTCCCACGATAATTGACCGCACAATGCAATAATGTGTGTGTTTTAACATTTCTGAACGCACTGAAAAATAATATCTGCCTTAAGTGCCGACCTTTGTTTCAATCTAATATTTGACTGTTTTAAGTACATAGAATTATTTATAATAGGTATTCTCTCGTGATACTTTGACGTTTAAATAACCCACTGAGACAGAATGCGTTTAATTACATTGAATTAATTATAGCATATATAATCTAGTGGTATCCCACTATGCCATTTTCCTTTGTAGTCCTGTCGTTTAAATAACCTTCTGAGAAAGGTTTTAAATACATTGAATTAATTATAACATGTATAATCTTGTTCCATTATAGCACCCGGCATTGTATACCCACTGCAACAGGATATCTTTTAATTAGACACAAGTATGCATACCTTCCCAGTATGTCAAATCTATATGTCTCGAACGTTAGAGTTCTTTGGGTGATTACATTGTTGTCTATACCTTAGCGTGATATTGGGGAAAACTTAGTAACCTCTGTGGGAATACAACGTAGATTAATGTTGGGAAGACATTGTTGATTTAATGTCAGAGTTATTTGGGGAAGACAATGTACCCCTAAGGCATAACATGGATCCTAAACGTTAGAATGGTATTGAGAAATACAGTGAATTCTAAACGTTAGAGCTCCGTAGGAGAAAACCAGCGTGGCCATTACGCTTATTTGGTGGCCAGTGTGGCCTTAACATTAGAGCTATGTGGGGAAAGATAGTTATGTGGGAACACAGTGTAACATAATGTGCTTGAATATTACCAACACAAGAAGCACTTTAGAAGTCGAAATATCTGGAAACGTTGTTACGGGTCCGTTTTTGAATTGAATTGACATATCATAATATTATTAGATAATTTGATTTTTTTTATTCAAATTTTTTCATATCACCCTTTTGTCATCTTCCCATAATTTCTAGCGGGATGTAGGTTACGAGTTCAAACTTATCACTATATATAAACGCCACACATAAAAAGTATAATATACGTATCATACTGCTCCTTCATTAGGTTACGTGGCTAAGCCAAACAATTACCTTTGTGTTTTTGTCGACTTAAGATGAATAATACATCACTCATGCTCAACGACATTAACTTATTATCCAACAATGAAATGAAATCCACATCTAATTACCTATGTCTGTGAGGCAGGACGTAACCATGAGATTGGAGACCTGGCAATCACGTGTTTGTTCGTACTGCTGCAACCGTTTGTGGGTACGGTGTTTACTTTGCCACGCCTAGATATTGGACAGCGATGAAAAAAACGTAAATTGAGTTGGCAACCTGTATCAATTATGTCGGTTTGTTCAAAGGGCGGTGGTCGTCGCGCCGCGTTCTGTTCGATATAGGACTCATAGCTACATATACAACGCGTGTAATATACATTGTTTATTTACATGAAATTCGAACACGCGCTGCTCGACGAGCACCACCCTTTAAGAATAAACTATAGGAAGCTGGTGTGTATCCTCTTCAGTTGAGCCCAGTACTTCTACAGTGTAAGTGTAGTATGGTGGTCGTCGATGGTGGTCGTCGCGCCGCGTTCTGTTCGATAATGAACTCAAAACGACGTACACAACGGTGTAAAATATATTGTTTATTTATTCGATTACGCGCTGCGATGATTACCGCTCATTACATTTCAACGTCGACGACAGCCTTTCATATCACAACCTTACAGAGATCGAGAACCACTCAGTGAGAGAGTGTCTCTATTTCAGACCAGCAAAGATACAAGTCACATTATATTACCATATGAATCCTAGGTATTGACGCAGCCTCTAAATATGAAGATGGTTCCTATCTGCGCTTCTCTAAACTTTACACCAATCGCGACTCTAGTCGTTTGACAATCATTCTGTTTAAGAACATTAACAATAATTATATTCGCGAAACATGACTCGATTTCATCGCAGCTGTAAGCGATGTTCAAATGTGAGCTTTGCTTACTCACATACAAATTCTAATAACTTGTTGAATCCCATGTGGTTGGTAATGACAAATAAGTTACACCGTTTCTACTATTGGTCGGATGATCATTGAGATACATGCAATCGTCACTAATGGTGACTTCAGTCAGCGGCGTTCAATATACTACGCCATAATACTGGGAACACCCATAATCCTATCGTATAAATAATGTAAATATAACAATTTATGAAAATAAAACCATCATAGTATTACACAATTGGCATTGTTGTTAGTGAGGTCTATGGAGCCTGTGGTTAAATTGGGCATATTTATTTGACAGTTTGTAAATGCGATATAATATTCGCGCATGCGTAACAAATGCGCTATGAACATAAATTACGTATACAGATGAATTATACGCTATGATGTCAATATTATGTTCTGATACCACGTTCCAAATGTTTACATTGACCAATTAAATGACAATATGCATTTGAATAATAGCTTCACTAATATGCGTTAACAAAAGATAGTGCGATTAACCCATTAGAAGGAGAATCAGTCATTCGCATTGACAGATAATATCACGGCGTAATTAGTTTTATGATTCATTCCGTCCTACGGCGATCGCGGGAAAGGGTGGCTGTACGGTATTTTATCCTCCTTTTCGTGCGCTGTAATATGATAAACAATCGCTGCAGCAGTCGTGAATATAAACTAATAGTTTATGTATGATTCAGTCTAATGCTGTCTGAGATGACTTCGTTCAGTGGGGACGACGCTATTCACACTACAGCAATGCTTCGCCAAGAGGGAGTTTCCGTCAAGCCTGTGACTGAATTTACTCGCAAACATAATACATATTTTGAATTATTTGCAAGATTTAGTGAATCAACAACATGTCATGGTCTACCCCGTATTATTGGAGCAAAGTCAATGTTTGGTAAGGTCATATGGTCGGCGGTGTGCATAACCGCCTTGACTGTCTTCGTGTGGCAGGCTTCGGACCTCATCAAACTGTTCCTTGCATACGACGTGAGGGTGAAAATCGAAGTTGGAACGGCACTGAGTTTACCCTTCCCAGCAGTTACGCTGTGCAACACCAACAAGTTGCGATTAACGGCGATTGAAAGAAGCGAACACAATATGTTAGCCAGAACGGACCCTCAGCATCCAGACACGATCCATCGTTTGCTGTCCTACGAATGTAAGTAATTCATATTTGTACACGGTCAATGTCATCACTATTACGTGTTAGTTATGTCCATACAAATATTTTATATGAATCATTCTTTAACGATTGCTAATAACCGTATTTACCTGTATAACGTAGTGGCCAGCTTTTTTATACTATTGTAGTGTTTTGTTATGTCTTGTAACATTTTATTTATCCTGGGTAACCTCCTTAGCCAAAGCTAATTTCCAGAGAGGGCAGACTCAGAGATACGACATGCAAAGTGGATGAGATAATTAAACAACTTTGCATATCTATAAAACATTACAAATTAACATTAAACAATGAATTACATATGGATTGAAAAGGTCAAAGTTGATTAAATTGATTAGAGGATTTCAATTTAAAATTAGTAATTGGTGTTTTAACATTGTTATGAAGATCATTATACAGAGCAACCGCGCTGGAAGCGTATGGCGCATCGATGTTAACTTTTGAATAATCTTTGGCTATCGTACATTTCCTACTCACACTAAAACTATATATTTTTTTATGTTAACGAAAAGAATATCATTGTGAATATCTTCCTTCGTACGATTCATTTATTATGTGTATAGTATGTTACTTGTTGTCATACAGTCATCAGTTCGAACGTATCTAGGAAATACTATGTAGACTACATATGTAAAGTATGTGTTCCAATATTTAGGTAAAATCGCGCCACCCATTGCGATGACATCCCTGGCGAGTAATAAACCGTGTATTGTATTTGGTAATAAATTGTATCTGTGTGAACTGAATACAATTATTCTCTTTAAAATAGTCTAATATGGACGACATGTGACGCATTAATTAAGGATAAATACCTTGAAGGAAATTTAAATTATTATTAACTGACGAAACAAATGATTACTTTTGCAATTTATATGTAAATTATCACTTGTTGCCTCAAAAATACACACTGAGTTATGAATAAAACAATAGTGGGTGTCTGTTTAAAAAGAAGATTAGAATTTAAATGAACATTGTCCATAATTTTCATAAATGCGTGCTTCCATATTAAGATGGTTCTAGTCAAATTGTAGATTTTTGTGCTTTCGTTATTATGGTTCAAAGCTATTAGGATACCAACAATGAAAAACAAATCCATACTTTTTACGAGAAACACAGGCTTGAAATGCATGTTTGCATTACGTTATGATAATTTCTTTGTCACTCAAAATGTTGTCACGTGACATAAGACTAACAAGACATATGCTATCATTGACGAGAATTTTAATATTGTTAAAACATTACCAACGAGATGATAATTTTCCAGTATATGCTGTTATATTAAAGTTATCGCTCATAAAAGTACGAAATAAGCTAGGTCCATCTGCGAATAATTGTGAAGCAAAATAAGATCCTCGACGGACTTCGCAAATTGTTTAAGCATCTTTAGAAACAAATTCATTTACGCTAGTGTGCTATTTTCTGTTACTGAAATAATTATAAATGAGAGTCATTGGTAAATATTGTACCCTTATTTCTATTTACTTTACTAATTGTTTTTTTTTATAATTCTCTTATCAAAGGATGTTTTCAAGTCGAACATATTTTTTATCAATTTCTTCTGATAACTTTAGGGAAAATCCAATGCTAGATTGTTTCGTGCTTTATTCTGAAGGCGGTACAGATGATGAGGCAATTTGAATACGCTGTGTATAATTATTATAAGGTTCAGGGGTGAATAACAAGAGACGAACTGGTGTACACTATAACAGATGACTTTATTGAAACTCCTGCCATGATGTGTCAAAGCACCCACTTATATACACAAGTTTACATTCCGTGCATTTTGGTGCATTTTGGCAAAGTGACTTTGGCCTTGTACATGATTGGGTAATAGGGAAACAAGCTGATAGGTAAAATAATTATTAATGAGGTTGTTTTATTTGCTAAAATGAACGTACTATGATTGGATAAATTATTTGTAAGCAGAATCCTAAATAGACATCAAGCTCGGCTAGTTCTGATATATGCAACAAGTTGTCTGTTGCTTGTTTTATTCAAACACTTCACTGTACTAGAGTAGAATATAATTAGGCATGTAGCCTGGCTCAGATCATGTTTCTTTCTATAAAAACTGTATCGTTGTTTTCTTGATGCTAGATTGTATAATAATAGCTACGCGTTTCGATCATTTTGCTGATTCCGTGTTTCTTCTCCGTCGTGTTTTGTTATCTCAATATACATTTCCTTGAATGCCTATGCTGCTACTTCGTCCGTATTCTGGTGTAGCACGTCTTATTCGTTTTTAGTTTTACACAATGGTCGTGCATTCTGGATATTGTGTCGACACAATACAGTATTTAATGTTTAAAGTTTGTTATTTATGTTCGATTTCATATGACAAATTTGGCATGAGGCTGATTACAATTTTATTTTATTCAAATATGTTTCATATTTGACAAGACATGAAATGTCATAGTCCACGTTATTTGTTTAGTACAAGGAACATTTGCAAACAGGTGAATAAATATGAACTCTTTGTGGGTACAACTCATCATAAAGTGATTTACCATAATCTAGTTTTGTACTGACAACTAAAAACTTCCACTGACCCATGTTCAGAATCTCAGAGTACACAAGTGCAACAAAACTATTTGTCATACATGTATACTTGCTCAAGAAACTGCATTCATAAATCTGAGTGAACCTTGATGTACATGACTTTTTTGTTAATCAGGTCTTAGTATATTACCAGGACCTGGGTTTGTTTCAACATCACCACTGGGCATCAGAATCATTCTCATGTTGTTTTAGTAAAAATTCTAATAACTGAAATACGCAAGATTGATAGATCTTCAGCGAGCACTCCTGAAATTTCGGATCATTGGTACCATGTTTTTGGATACACTCAATGACCTGATACATAAAACCACATTTTTTATTGCTCAATCACTTGACCCTGTATGGCAAAAGACCGCAAGCTTCTATCATAAAATTGGGTTATTTATTCGATGCAACGAAACATGCATTCACAGCAGTGTCATGAATTAGTTTTCGCGTATCTGTTGATCGACCTATTTAGCTGATTACTAGTGAATGGCTGTGTTAAATCTGTCATCATTTAGGCTCATGCGAGGTCCTGGACGGAACTTGACTCAGTGATTTGGAACTAATTACGATATAACCGCCGCTATCCGGACTACTATTTCTGACAGTTGGTATTCGCAGTTAGTAATATAGTGAACGATTAATCAAAAGATATGACAGGTCCAGTATTTAGTTTGATTGGCTATGTGCAAGTT